CAGGAATAAATCTACATTTTCACCTCAGCTTTATAAGGTAGATATTTTCCTGCCATCTCACAGATAAAGAAACCAAGGCACAGACAGGTGAAATCACATGGCTCCAGAGTCCAATTTCCTATCCAAATATCTGAAAGATTTAAAAAAATTTTTTTTTCATGTATGCAGTGTCTCTTCAGACATTGTGGCTATTGTTTGAAGTACTGGCAATGAAAAAAATTATTAATTTTGATGGGCTACTAAAATTTTTTCTCTCTGAACTTCACCTCACCTCCCTCAAGTATAAAGTATTGGGTGATCTTTTATTCAGCTATATAATTCTGTGAACATAATGCTTTCAGTATTACATGCCAAAATTCCTTCTATACTTTTGACAAGTATCTATTGTGTTTTTTACATGCCAGGATTCATGCTACATTTTATTGTTATAATGACGAATAGTTATTTATAACTAGAGGCCCAGTGCATGAATTTGTGTACAAGTGGGGTTCCTTGGGCTGGCCTGCCGGGATCGGGCTGAAACCTGCTCTCCAACATCCCCTGAGGAGTCCCAGATTGCGAGAAGGTACAGGCCAGGCCAAGGGACACCACCGGGACTATTGGGGCTGGGGAGGATGCAGGAGGTTGACCAGCATGGGAGGGACTGCAGGAAGGCTCTAGGGCATGTCCACCTTGTCTCGCTCAGTTCCGATCAGCCAGACTCCAACAGCAAGCTAACCTAATAGAGTGTCTGCCCCCTCGTGGTTAGCACATGTCATAGCGAGCGGTTGACCTTAGCATATCATTAGCATATTACGCTTTGATTGATTGAATGGTCAATTGGACGACTGGACACTTAGCATATTAGGCTTTTATTATATAGGATAAGATTTTTTTCTATGGTGACGATTTTGACCTCTGTAAAGTCTTTAAGCATGTTGACCACAACCTCCTTCTTGAAACACTTGAACCTTTTGGATTTGATGACACATTCTAGACTTTCCTCCTACCTCTTGGGCTGTGACTTCTCATTCCCATTTCAAGCTCTTTCTCATCGGCTCCTATGGTTCAGGGGACTATTCTTCCTTTGGTAAACTGATGATTTCCAAGGATTTTAAATTATCATTTGCATGGTGATTTTTGTTCCTCTTCAATATCTATTTCAGTATCTATTATATAGGGTAAGCATTTACTGAGCACTTGCAACATGCTAAGAGCTATGCTGAGTGCATTACTGAGTGTAATTTTTCTTAATCCTCACACAGCTTCCCTGCTAATTATGATTACTCTCCCTATTTTACCCATGAGGAAACTGAGCTTAGAAACACCTAGAACTTTAATCAGTTCACACAACCAGTAAATGGCAGAGCTTGGGATCAAATCCAGAAAGCCTTACTCTGAAACTCTGAAGCCCTGTCTCCTTACCACTTTGTTCTCCTGTGTGAGGTGTGGGTACCACACCAGAAACAGAGAGTCAGATTCGACCTCAGTGAAAATAGATCATTTGGCCTAGGTATAGAAGTGTGAAATGAGGAGAAATAAGTGACATGTCTTCCTGAAGTCATATCTTTCTGACAAAACAAAGTTCTAATTTCCACAATTAGAGCATTTCCCTTGGGGCTTGCATGTGGAGTCCAAAGGAGCAGCTTAAAATGTGACTAGAGGGAACAGTTATTCCAACACCGATTCCCAGAGATGTGTAGGCATATCTCCTTCTCTTGCCACTCACAGAGTCCTGAAGGAAGGAGCATAGGAGTAGCCAAGAGGTGGGCGAGGCTTTGAGACCTTTATTGATGACTGAAATAGAACTGGGGGAGGTATCACCAGGCATCATGGTGTGTGTGTGTGTGTGTGTATGAGTGAGACACTGAATATGTGTATGTGAGGTGGCCTCAAGCAGCTAAGGGATTACACAAAGTTATGTGTCAGACTCTAGGGAAAGCCTATTATAGCAGCCAATTGAAGATAAGGAGAGACTAAAGAACAGAAATATGACCCAACAAGTCTGCCTCAATTTGACCATAAAGTGAGAGAACTGAAACAATCATAAAGTTGGTCCCTATTTAGGAAATGCCTAGAAACATTCATGTTTCTAGAGGAAATGGCTTAGAATAAAATCAGGAGCTTAGAAGGCTTATGAAATCATCTAGCCTAAACTGTGGCCTGAACATAGTCCATGTGAATTGCCTCAGAGAGCAGCCATTTAGGACCCATTTTTAAGGTCAGCTCAGAATGCGATTCCACAATCATTATTCCTGTGATTACCTGTACCCATCACCAAGAAAGCCAAGAAATCCTTCTACATCAGCTGAATCTCCTGCTTGTCCTCCAGAAAGATGAAAAAAGGGTTATCATCACCCTTCACCTTAAAAAAACCTTAATATCCCTAGAGCTATCGCTAAATCACTGCATTATCTCTCTCTTTCCAAAAGGATACTTTTAGTTCCTTCAATCTCATCTTATTTGTCTGGTTTCCTTTCCAAACGGCACATCTGCCAACACAGCACAAGGACAAGTGCCATATGTGAGACTTGTAGTATCTGTGCCATATGGCAAATGCCTGTCATCTAATATTGCTTAGAAGTAGAGAAATACAGTTTATGCCCACAGTAGGGTAAAGATTAACAGGGAATTCCCAGATAAGCTAATATTTCATGAATATTAGCTTCATGAAAATCTGTAGAAAAAGTCCTTCCTTTGCTTATTTGGATCTTGGATTTTAAAGACAAAAATAATGGTAATAATATTCTTATAAAGACCTATTGTGGGGATAAATCAGGTATCATTTGAGAATGTTTAATGTGCCATTAATGTGATGAATGCCATTTATGAATCTTAAATCTGTGTTCATATACAGTGGTTATTAATGAAGAGTGATTACATTATTTATTTTAATGATCATTTACCATTGATGGAATTGTCTAACTCATTCATGTGTTATTCACAGAAATGTGACCTGGAATAGTTTAGCTATTCCAGATACACACTGCTCACCAGAGCTGGAAGAAGGCTACCAGTGCCCACCAGGATTTACGTGCATGGACCTGGAAGATCTGGGACTTAGCAGGCAAGAGCTGGGCTACAGTGGCTTTAATGAGATAGGTCTGTCTGTCTTTCTGGTAAAACACATTTTTCAGTTTCTATTTTATAATGTTATGAAATGGAGATAATAGTTATATAATTGATATTTCATATTAAGACCGACTATAGTATTTACTAGTAAGAAACACAACTGCAAGTTTTAATTATGTGACTGAATTATATTCTACCTTTAATCTATAACATACAGTCTGTGTTTATGTATAGTCAGTGATGTCCATAGAGATTTAAATAGCTCTCATTTTAGACTAGTTTGATTCTTAATTATAGCATTTAAGAGTATTTCTTTGTTGAGCAAGGTTTAGAGGTTATTGCCTCAAAAATAACCAAGATGTGGTTTTCTTTCACATTTTAACTATACTCAAGTGGTCAAGGTAAGTCTTAAATAACTGGAATAATGGGCATCCATGAGTGTGTGAGAGCTGAAAAGGAATCCCAGAACACAAGACAGCTAATCAAATACTTAATGAATATGCATCAACCATATAAAGGATATATGAGGAATACTTGTATATGAATATAATGTGCTTAAATGTATAGATTTATTTGTGGCTTGTCCTATTAAGTCCTGAAATGTATCATTTACACACAGTAATCAAAGAACTTGGTAGCTGCCATTTAGTGGTATCATTGCTTTTTGAAGAAAAAAAAAAATCCATGGAACTCTAAACAATTATTTTATGCTTTGAGAATGTGTCTTAGTAAGCTCAGGCTGCCACAACAAAATACCATAGATGGGGTGTTGTAAACAACATAAATTTACTTCTTTCCAGTCTGGACACTGGAAGTCTAAGATCAGGGTGCCAGTATGGTAGGGGCCTGGTGAGGCATCCTCCTCTCCCTCGCTTGCTGATGGCTTCTTGCTGTGTTCTTACATGGATGGGGTGGGGAGCGGGTGGGAGGGAGGGGAGAGAGATAATCCTCCCAGGATATTTTTACATTAAGAGAGAGAGAGAGAGAGAGAGAGAGAGAGAGAGAGAAAGAGAGAGAAATAGAGAAATAAAGCTCTCCAGCCTCTTCTTATAAGGGTACTAATCCCATCACGAGAAGCAAACCCTATGACCTCATCTAAACAAAATCACCTCCAAAAGGCCTCACCTCCCAATACAGTCACATTGGGGGTTAGGGCTTCAACATGTAGTTTGGTGGGGAGGCACAAGCATGTCCATAACAGGATTAATTATTATCAGAATTATTTGAAAATAATCCTATACAATAAAGAGGTAATATGCAAATTAACCCTCACACCCTCAAAAGATGGCTGCCTATGACCAGACCAGCAGGGAGGTTAGTGAGGGATGACCAAACGACTGACAGCAGTCAGATGAGCAATTAGGAGCCAGTGGTCCAGGATTGTGAGAGGGATGTCCGACTGCCAATTTAGGCCTGGCAGTCGGACATCCCCCAGGAGTCTTGGATTGGAGAGGGTGCAGGCTGGGCTGAGGGGACGCCCCTCCCTCCCTGCCCTGTGCACAAATTTTGTGCACCGGGTCTCTAGTAATGAAATGAAACAATAAAATAAAATAATAAATAAAAACCTTTTTTTTTTTTTTAAGTTTCAAGGCCCAGGTACATTTATGGGAATTCTAGACACTTTTACCCAGGGCCTGAAAGAAAAAAAACAAAAACACCTTTCAATGTTTAACAGGGTGGTGGCTGTGCTCTTTTGGAAGCCGAATAAATTTCCTGACTTTTGATGTGGTTTCACATCTCAGTGGGCCTGCTGGACGCTGGGGGATTTTATTCATAGTCAGGGAAGAGAGATCAGCCCCTGTCAACTCTGGATAGCAACTACTACAAACCCAGCCAATTGACCTTCACACATCAAACAAAGTGGCTGGTAAATCCCATTACAACCCTGGCCTTCAGGCAGAGCAACTCCTGAATGGTGAGGATGGCTTAGTGAACTCTGGGATGAGTATTGGAATGTGAGAAAGAGTACATGAAGGTCTTGCATTGATTAAGGAGTACTTTTCTGATGTATGAATTAAACCACAGGACTAAATAAAGCCTTTGGGCAGAATCTAATGCTGAACTTGGGCTGGAAAACACAAATAGTTGGTGTTTTGTGTTTTTTTAAGTGAAGTTTGTAAATAACAACCCTAAATTTTCATTCTTATATTTTAATATGTCCTCATAGTGGATTTCCAGCATTGTAGTTAGACAACTCTGTTCGCCAATGATACGGCTTCCTATTTCACAAAAAGTTAGAAACCAGAAGCATTTCAGTTTGCTTTATGCTCTTAAACTTATTGGCTTTAGAACTAATCTTACACCTCCTGTCTCAAAAGTGCAGAGGCCTCTGATGGATGATATTAATGCCTGTCAGGGATGAGTAGGCAATCACAGGTGTGTCATGGGACATGAGATGTATTGATTTGGCAAACTTTGTGGAACAAGCTTCAGGAGTCCTAACAGCTGGGACATGACTCAAATGCATCACTTGTCAGAGCCTTGCAGCCCCTTCTTTTAGGGACTAACTCAGCGGTTCTCAACCTGTGGGTCGAGACCCCTTTGGGGGTCGAAGGACCCTTTCACAGGGGTCGCCTAAGACCATCGGGAAACACATATATAATTACATATTGTTTTTGTGATTAATCACTATGCTTTAATTATGTTCAATTTGTAACAATGAAAATACATCCTGCATATCAGGTATTTACATTATGATTCATAACAGTAGCAAAATTACAGTTATGAAGTAGCAATGAAAATAATTTTATGGTTGGTGGTCACCACAACATGAGGAACTGTATGAAAGAGTCGAGGCATTAGGAAGGTTGAGAACCACTGGGCTAATTGAATATACCCATCTCTTGTATGGAGAGTGGCTAGCATTCAGGCTTTAGGCTGCCTTGGCACAAGAATCACCCAATCCTTTAAAGTCAAATCACACCCTGACCATTTTAAATGCAGTCCACACTCAAAATGCTGCATTATATTTCGGTTGGTTCATCTTTCTTCACTGTAACTTATACTGGCTTCAACTAATGCAGGCTGCAATCTCTCTTTAAGAGAGAAAGTCTCCTTATAAAGTACATTGGCTTGAGCAGCCCAATTCTAGGAGGGGATTGCCAGGCAATACTCTTGCTGTAGTTCTGTTTATTTGCACATTTCTCTTTCAAAGATTTAAGCTCCTTGAAAACAGGAAGCAAGCAGTCTCATCTTCATGTCTCCAGGGTCTCTAGGGCAATGCCTGGCTCATAGGAAGCCCTCTACAAATACTTACTAATGGACTGAACAAAGTATATGTCCTTTTTTAATTGGCTGGTAACCATAGGAAGTAATACTGGAGAATTAAGTTGCTTTCTTGTTCTTCTTTTCTCTGAATTTGTCTGTGTTTTTTTTGTCTATTCCTCATAACTTCCCTTTCTATGCAAGCTTAATTTGATTTGTTTGCTTCTTTTTCTCAAATGATGATTGAATTCAATATCATTGTATGACTAATGGCTAGATAATGAAATGTTGACTTTGTACTATCATCAAAAAATTTTAAAATAGTCTCTAAAGTTTAGATTGAAACTGAAATCTACTTCCTGTTATTCTGTGTCTACATAGATACACAGACTGTAGTATTTTAGGAGATTTTCAAAGCTCTTATGGGAAAAAATATAGTGTTTTCCCCAAAATGAAGAAAATAAATTATTTTATTAGATACATGTGATCATCTCTTTCTGCAGTTTATTTTAAACCATAATTAGGTGCCTAATTGTGCACATAAATTTGGTCCAGATACTTTATGTGTAAATATTCGTGATTAATTAAAAAGGAGCACATTTCTTTTTCTTAGTAATCAAATTATCATGTAATACATTGACTTTCAACTCAATTATATAATTTCATTTATAAGTAGCTTTATGTCTCATTGAAATTTAATACTGATGTTGAAAACTCAATTTTTAAAATATATTAAAAGCCAGAGTCATTAAGTAGAAAAAAGTTATAAAGAGCCCCTATTGTAAGATTGCAGAGTAAAGACACCTTTGCATCTCTAAAATCACCCAAACATCAAGGAGACTGAGAAACATTAATCCAACTTATATATTTAAGGACTCTGAAAAAAACCGTAACCATAAACCAATCAGAGGGCTAGATGATTAACAGAAAATTCCCCGGAAGGATTCTGGCTACTGAGGATCTCAGAGTGCCAGTAGAATGCTGACATTCTAAAATAACAAATGATCCCAGCGGAGCGGAACAGCCCGCTATGGGAGTCAGGGGAAATCAGTGTCTAGCTGACTGTGGGAGCTTTCTGGATCTCCATGAGGTGTCACAAAGTAGAGACCCTTGTTTCTGCAAGCAGTTTGTAGCGAAATAGGGGATAGACACTCCATTGTGAGGGGCCCAATGCTGCTGATCTGTGTTGATTAGGAAAAGGAAAGACCCAGCTTAAGGTTTGCAAATCTGGTATACCTTAGGATGAGCTATACCTTAGGATGAGCTATACCTTAGGATGAGCTATACTTAAGGACCACTATTCCCAGGCCCAATAAATTGAAATTTTAGAGGGATCCCAGACAGAGATGGCTTTAAAAAGTTTTCTAAGTGATTCTGATGTGCATGCAATGTTGTGAACCTTTGGATTGAAGAAACACTGATACACTTACCTACTTAATAGAGAGCTTCATTTCTATCCCATAATACCACCTCACTCCTCCTCTACATGATACAGTGACAAATATTAGGTCCTATAAAAATTGATGTCAAGGTGAGTAATAATAAAAAAATAATCAGGGTCATATCTATAAAAATGTACCTTTAGGTGCATTTAAAACTGAAAAAAAATGTTTTAAGATGTATAACTTAAAAAAGAAAACTAGAAAAAGAAGGCCAGAGTATACGGATTAAAAGGGTACAACTTGTCTCAGTAAATGAACACAGAATAATCAGTGCTGAGGTATATCTTAGTAAAGATGCTGGAATTCAAAGCTAAAAAAAGTATCCACTAGGCATTCAGGGAAAAAAAAAAAAGATCGTCATTTTTATGGGAGGCCATCAGAGAG